ACGCTCGAATCTAATACGTGTAAAGTAGTCTATCACACTAGTAGGAGGTGGATTGGGGTTGGCATTGGTATTATTATTTTCACCAGAGTCGACATCGGCCTGGATATGGTCGGTGTCCATTAACAAAGGAGTATAAGTAGTAGGAATATTTGCAAAAATAGTTGGCAAGTTATTTGATGTGGAGAGCGCTAAAGCGAATTGAGTGGAAAAAGCTGATTGGTTATTTTTACGACTGTATTCACGTAAAACTGAACACCAAACGGAGGTGACAAAATACATAATAAGCAGCCATCTCAGGTTTGATTGGTCAGCATTGTGCTATTTGAACCCTTTTTTGATACTTATTGTTCTTTCTCATCCATCTCGTTTGGGTATAAAATAACTGAATGGGTATTCACATCACAGTTTCAGTAATTCCACTTTCATAGACTAAACACTATAGCATCGAATGATCGACATGGAAACAACGATTGCATTTCTGTATCAGTCTTTGTTTTCTTGAACTAGAGCACTGGCGTATCGGTGACTTTAAAATACAACAAACATGAGTTTGACAATATTAGAACAATCGCACTCAATATCTGGATTGTGATGGATGAATCTGTGATCGTACAATGTATGGCTATGCCAAAATTTGGAAAAATGGTTCGATTGCATTATATGATGAATGCTGTGTTTATTGAATTGAAAATGTTCATTAAATTCAATCTTTAATAGCAAACTACAACCAATACTCGACTATTATTCACTACTACGCAAAATTAAAATCACTGCACGAGTTCTATTCTACGTGAATACAACTGATAGTTTAACAGTGTAATTGAACAAGGTTTACATTCGTTGATTTCATTCATTTTTGACTTGTCGCAGACTGCATCAATGCATGTATTATTGCAACACTGTCAAGTATCTGTCAACTACACGAGTCTATGGTTTCCGTTATTGTATACGATCAACTGTTCATGTGGTTAATACTGAATCCTGTGTTCAAAAGTTAACTGGTTCCAATCTGATATGGACTGTCAATTGATTATGCCAAGACTTTCACTGATAGATTTGCAAATACATGCATCATAATCAAGGTCTTGTTTGTCATGATGGATGTCTACAGCAAGATTCGTGTGTGTTTGTTGTCATTGTTGACTGGATATGTTGCAAGTGGATCTATCAGGTATAATGACAGCTTGACCACTCATGTCAATGTTTATATTACAGACATGGTTATTGGTGCTGATTGCTGATTGTTCAAAATACTGCATCTGAAGTTGTGGATACCATGTTCAAATCATGACATTGTTGGATATCCATCAGCTTTTGGTGAAAATGCAACACATTACCAGTTTCGGTAATATACAAACACTTGGACTTGTGTCGAATGAATCAACTGGTCATTGTATATTTGAATACGTATGACATATTTTGATACTATCTTGTGTCTTGATGTTTGATG